GTCCCAAGAAGAGAAAGAACAGATAATAATGGGCTCTTTGCTCTAGTGGAGGAAACTGCGAGCAGCAACGGCCGGCAGTCCGGCGCAGATTGGGGACGGGGAGCGCGGCGCTGGAGCCAGCCCCCTAGGGAGTGGGGCACGCTCAGGGCGGCAGTCCGGCGCAGATTGGGGACAGGGAGCCCGGCGCTGGAGCCAGCCCCCTAGGGAGTGGGGCACGCTCCACTGTGTGGTGGCTGCAGGCGAGGGGCGTTCTGGGCTCAGGACAGGGCAGCAGGGAGCTGCAGTGGACGGAGGGTCAATGTGACGCTCCCTTCTGGCCCACGGACCCATGGACGTGGATAGTGCCAATGTGACCAGCTGGGAGAAGTGCCCTGTGGCTGCTAGAGGCTGTCCTGGCCCCGCAGGACTTGGTTCCAGCTGAGGGTGGGGGGCACACAGCTGGGCCAGCTAAGTTCTCTGGCCCAGCCAGGCAAGCTCGGCACAGGAGCAGCGGAGCGAGCACGGGCCCCGGGGCTATTAGGGATGCTCTGGCCCCCAGGGCATGCCAGGTGCCCTAGGCCCCGCAGCACACTTCACGCTGAGGCGCCCAGCCCCAGGGAAAAGCCCGGCAGCCGGAGCAGCGCTGGGAAGCCAAGCTGGCTGGGTGGCTCCGCTCTCCGTTAGAAGGGAAAAGGCGGGAGGGGAAGCTGTGAACAGCTCCGTGGCCTGAGCCCTGCAAGCCCCAGTCAGCTGACCCGGGCCAGTGGCAGGGATCTAACCCTTTGTCTGTCCCACCCCGGCACGCGCCCCTGCCTCGCCCTGCTGCGAGCCCGTGTCTGTGCACAGGCGTGTTCCGCGCCTCCTGCTGCAGCGAACCCATGAGCGTGCAGCCTGGCCATGGGCACTGCATTCGAGCGGAGCAGGCCAACCCTCGCCCGCCAGCCTGTGTCCAGCCCACAGCCACGTGTGAGCATGCTGCGTGTCCGTGTCTGGCCGCTGCCACCTCCCCGCCCTGGCCACGGGAGGCAGGGCTGGGGGGCAGCACGAGAGCAGCGGGTAACGCCATTGGCTCTCATGGAGGGAGTCCTGACAGCTCTTCCTCTCTCTCCTGGCAGGTGACGAGTTTAGGGCTGGCTGGTCCTTGTGTGGCACCCCCCCCGTGACTGCCCACGCCTCTGCCGGATCACTCGGGATGGACTCCAAGGTCTCCGAGGGCGGCCTGAATGTCACACTCACCATCCGGCTGCTCATGCACGGCAAGGTAGAGAGCGGCCGGGCGAGAACACCCGGCCTAGGGGCATGAGGGTTGGGGGGTGGGGAGAGAGATTTCCTTTGCTTTAGGCTGAGAGAGAATTGTCAGCACCCTGTGCCCCTACCCCCCATCGGCCTCCCAGGGCTGCAGTCTTCCTGGTGAGGAGTCTGGCAGGTCCCCGTCTCCGGCCAACAGCACTTCAGAAGGTGTTGTCTCCTCCCCACATCTCAGTGGTGTTCCAAGGGACAGACGCTCCTCTACTTGCTCACTGCGGCCACACAGCCACCACGCCAACCTTTTCAGAGCGCCTGTTCAGAGAGTCACAGCCGACCCCTCTGTTCAGAGAGTCACAACCGACCCCTCTGTTCGGAGAGTTGTAACCTACCCCTCTGTGTGGAGAGTCACAGCCGACCCTCTGTGTGGAGAGTCACAGCCGACCCCTCTGTGCGGAGAATCACAGCCGACCCTTGATTCAGAGTCACAGCCGACCTCCTTTTCTGAGAATCACAACCGACCCCTCTGTTCGGAGAGACAGCCGACCCTTGATTCAGAGTCACAGCCGACCTCCTGTTCTGAGAGTCACAACCAACCCTCTTTTCGGAGAGTCACAGCCGACCCTCGATTCAGAGTCACAGCTGACTCACTGTTCGGAGAGTCACAACCGACCCTCTGATGGGAGAGTCACAGCCAACCCTCTGTTCAGAGAATCACAACCGACCTCTCTGTGCGGAGAGTCACAACTGACCCCTCTCTTCGGAGAAGCACAACCGACCCCTCTGTTCGGAGAGTCACAGCCGATCCGCTGTTCAGAGTCATGTCTCCATATTTTCTTTAAAGAATTACCCGCCTTTTATTTCCCATGTATTGTGTGTTTTGCACGTGGTGCCATGAGAAAGCCACTGCTCCGTGGTAGGCTGCATTGTGACCAGTTTGTCCCGGAGACCATGCAACCACTCGGCTTCCCTTTGGAGGTGGCCAGGCCCCACTCAGGAGAGTGTTTGCTTACGTGCAGCCCTGAACAGGGTACTCTCCCGGATCGGGGCCACAGTTGGAGCCCACACTGATTACGTGGCGCTCAGAAACCAGAGATGAAAACCTGGTCAGGGCTGGGCCCCTGTGCATTTGGGGAACATGTGGGGCTCCCCCTCTGGGCTGCCAAAGTCATTCCCCCTCCCCCTCCGGGTCTCCGGTGACTGTTTGACAATTGCTCGGAGAGGCGCGTGATTACTGAGCTCATTGAGTGCACCAACCCCGTAATTTCTGTCTCTGTGTTTGGGTCTTTTACAGGAGGTGGGCAGCATCATTGGGAAGGTAACTATTCCTCCCGACCCGCGTGTAGAAATCCCATTGGCGGGACCCTTGAGCGTGTTCGCGGTGCAGTCACTCCCGCCTGCACTCTTCCAGCGGTTCGGTATTGCACACTGCCCCTCTCACCAGGGCCGTGCTGTGGCTCTGATGCTCTGGTTGAATGGCCGAGTATTCGGGGTCGTATCCTGCTACTGTCATTTCCCTAGCCGGTCGCTACCGCCGCATCGCTCCGGCGACTAATACTCCTGTTCCTTCTGGGGGTGGGAATTGTGCTCCCGCTGATTATCCAGTCAGGAGGAAGATTAGTCTCATCACAGGAGAAGCAAAATTCTACCCCCCAGAGAGCAGCATGGGGGATGCTGCTAGAGCCGTGAGGAGGGAGGCCAAGGTGTTTCTCAGGGCTGTGGCCGGCAGAAGAAGGGGCTGTCACAGCAAGGACAGGTCAGAGGGAGGGTGCCTGTCCCTCCACCCCAGGCCCTTGGTTAGTCCCACTCTTTTCGTATCGACTCGGGCCGGGACTGCGCTTCTGCCACGCAGAGGGACACGTAGAAAGGAGGCGGCTCCCTGTGACTGGCTCTCAGAATTAGCTGCGGGCTCTCTCGCAGACAAGTGGCAGGCTGGAGTCCGGGGAGTATGAAAAGGAAACGTCTCCGAACACTGACCCACCTCCGAGCGCTGGCAGGCCGTGGCGCCCGGAGAGGAGCTCTCCTCCCCGCTCTCCAGCCCTTGACTTGCGCTTTCCCAGAGCAGCCTGGAGCTTTCCAGAGGGTGGGGATCGGGCAGGGTACAGCCGTGGCCACGGCCGCAATTTCAATGCTTGTGTTTCTGCCTCTTGTTTCAGAAAGGAGAGACGGTGAAAAAGATGCGGGAGGAGGTGAGCCGCCCAGGCCGTGGCAATAATTGTAACGAAAGCAGCCTGGGGGGGAGGGGGCGGCTAGTTAATGGCACCTCGGTACTTCAGCGGTAAAGCGATTGGCCCCGTTACTCAGACACGTCAGCCAGCTGCTGTGCCCTAGACTCGCTGTCAGTGGGTGCCGGGCTCCGTGGCTGTGTACTTGAGCCAGCGCTTTGCCTTGCGCGTTTGCTGTCCGGGCACCGTGTGTGCTTGTGCCAAACGCCTTGTGTGTTTTCAGGCAAGCCGGGGCCCGCCCCCTTGGCACAGCGGGAGGCCTGGGCGCGTTGGTCAGACGGCAGGGGCGGCGCAGTGCTCCGGGGCACGCCCCAGTCCAGATCTGCGGGCCGGGAGCAGCTGCCGGCACGGTGGCCGAGCCAGCCGCC